CAGGAAGGGAGGCTGCTTCTCTAGCCACGGCACTGACTGCCACCATTCCCTGGGTCCTGACAGTAATTGTTATAAGACTTCTAACCACCCGGGTCCCCACGGTGCCCTCAGAAGTCACCAGTCGCCACCACATCTGTTCTCTTTATTGAAACCGCTTTGTTTATACTTGTTGGTGACAGCGACCGGGGGTTCCAATCTGGTTTATTTTCTTTCCCGGTGCCAACCTGGCGGACAGGGCTGAAGCGAGGGGGTGGTGGCCACCAACAGTGGCCGGGGGCGTGCTCCTCAGGGTTGGGGATGAGGGAGGACTCAGGTGATAAAATCCCAAAGGGGAGCTTGGTACAAGGGTTTGCCCAGCTGACTGCAGGGCTCTGCACACCTGTGGGTTCCTGTACCTTGAATGAGTTTTCTTTCTGGAGTCTGAGTCCTCGGGTCCCCAGGCAGCCAAGGAACAAAGCTGGTCATGACGTTACAGAAACGTGAGGCTTTAGGCTGCTCTTTGGCTGTGTGTGTGTGTGTGTGTGTGTGTGTGTGTGTGTGTGTGTGTGTGAGACAGGGACCTGTCTGCCCTGTCCGCCATAGCCAGCTGTTTCCCAACCTCCAGACCCTTCCCTGCCACAGTTCAGTTATCTGGGCAGGATCTGTTCAGTTATCTACTTACTGTTTTTCTCTACATTGACCTTAAATGGACTTGCACCTTCAGTTTTGTCGTAAGCGGTAATATCTGTGAAATATGGGATTCCCCAAACGTACGTGAAAATTAATACATAATTATTAACATAAAAAAGAACTCACCGGGAGCCAGGTAAAAGTTTCCCACACACACTGGTGGCTTGTAGGTCACCCAGGGACACTCCTGAAACCCAGAGGAGGCCAATTCGGGTTTTAAGCACTTCTAACAGATACTGGGTGGGATATGGGGCTGTTGGCCCAAAGAAGTGCCCCCTCCAGCTGCCCCATGGGTGGCAGTGCTGCCAGCGGGGGTCTCTGTCGTTGGGTGCTTGGTGGCTGGCACGTAACAAGCTGATCTGCCCCTGCAGGTATCGCTCTCCTGGCTTCCACGTGCAGTCCTGGTATGACGAGGTGAAGGACTACACCTACCCCTACCCCCACGAGTGCAACCCCTGGTGTCCAGAGAGGTGCTCTGGGGCCATGTGCACCCACTACACACAGGTAAGGCTGAAGATCAGGTATGACCTCAGCCTGGCACCCCCAAACACTGTCACTCACCTGGCCCTGTGGGACTGTTGCCCAGTCAGAAAACCTCTGCTCTATCATTGCCTTAATTTTTTCCTTTAATTCAGCACTACTCAGAGTATAGCTGGTGGGCCAGGCTGTTTGTGGCCAGTTCACAAATATGGAAACTGAGAGTAAGCGCTAGAAACTTCTATGGCAGCTTTACATGGCTGGGGAATTTTCCTTGTGTGTTTTTTTGTTCTTTTTTGTTTGTTTGTTTGCTTTTGTTTTAAAGAAATGTGTGGATCTTTAATGGGTTAGGGGAAGAATCCGGTCCTTCACCTCTTCACCACACACCCCTTTAGTGCCAGCACCTTATGGATCCAGACCAGATTTTGTCACCCTGGTCATTTGTCCCTTGAGCTCAGATGTATGGATGTCATCTTTTCAGATAGTTTGGGCCACAACCACCAAGATTGGCTGTGCTGTGAACACCTGCCAGAGGATGAATGTCTGGGGAGATGTTTGGGAGAATGCGGTCTACCTCGTCTGCAATTACTCTCCAAAGTAAGAACAAGTGACATGGTTTTATGGGTTGGGGTGTGTTTGCCTGCTATGGAAGACCCAACTGAAACTGGCTTCAGTGGTAAAATCTCTTTATTGTTTCACATAACAAGGCATCTAGAGGTTGGTGCATCTAGGTTAGCTTAATAGCTCAGCATGTCAATGAGAACTTTCTGTCTTCTTGCTGTATTGTCCTCTCCTCATGGTCCCAAGGTGGCTGTAGAGCACCAGGCATCACATCTTCCCAAACTGAAGGGAAGAGAATGGTAGAAAAGGCCTGTCTCCTTAGGCTTTTCTCACCCCTGGCCCACTTTCTCCTTATGTCATTGGCCACAACTAGACCACTCATGGACAAGGCAGAACAAGACTGCCCCAGTTGGCTTTGACCAATGAAATTGCCCCAGTTGGCTTTGACCAATGAAATTGCCCCAGTTGGCTTTGCACGTCACCCCCTGGGGCTACTTGAATAAGTCAGAAGCAGGAGTAGTTGGCTGGGCAACCAGTGGGGTCTGCCATAGAGATTCTTTTTCTCTGAAAATATGCAGCAGATAGCACTCGAGAAAATAGGTGTTCATGCTATAGCCCTCGTTTTTACGTCTGTATATTTCTCCTCCCAGAAGGGACCTCATCACACCTTTAGGTCATAGTCCCACTTCCTCTTGACAGCATCCTGATGTCATCAGTGTGTCACTTATCCCTTTACGCATTCACCTCCATTTCTCGTCAGACAAGTATGTGCTGATTCTCAGAGACTGGCTCACCCAGTTTACAGCCTATGGTTTGCACACTGGCCACTGGGCTGGCCGCCATCCTAGCACTGGGCCCTGCACACAGTGTGCCCTTGAGGCATGTTTTCTCCATGACTGCATGAAACAGGAATGACCTCATTTACTGGGTTGGATCAGGAGTGGCCATGAGAAGGTAGGATGAAGAGGGAATCGCTGAGGTTGGGAGGAAAACAGAAACTCTCTGTAAACCATCTGGCACACCTGTGGTAGGAGTCTCTTTCTGGCTCACGGATGGCCGCGTTCTCCCTGTGTCTCCACATGGCGTTTCCTCAGTGTGTGTTGGGGGTTGGAGGGGGAGGGAGAGGGAGGGGGAAATTGAGCTCTCTGTGTCTCTTCTTATAAGGACACTAATCCTATCAGAGTCCCGCCCTTGTGACCTCATTTAACCTTAACCACCTCCTCCGAGGCCCCATCTCCAAATGCAGCCACGTTGGGGGGTTAGGGTTTCATCATACGAATTGGAGGGTGGGCACACACGTTCAGTCCATGCATATGTATATGCATTATGTATGCATTATGTATACCTGTGTAACCAGTACCCAGGTCAAGGGAGGGAGTATTTCCAGGGCCCCAGGCTGGAAGCGGGGGGCTCCCTCATGCCCCCCAGAGTGGCTGACATTCTGACACCCCTCCCCATTGGTCAGTCTGTCTGGTTCAGACCCTCCTGTGAATGGACAGATATGCCCTCTTGTGCCTGCCGTCTGCCTCTCAACGCCGTGTCCGGGAGATTCGTCCGTGGCATTGTGTGTTCGGTGGGCAGTTTTTTTCAGATGTCTTTGTGGTTTTCCATGATGTCCACAGCCTCTTTCTTCAAGAGTCCGAGCCCCCGGCCGTGCAGGGGGCAGTGGCTGAGAGGGTGGGCCCTGGGGTGGTGTCTGGGCTCAGGTCTCTTTGGGAGGGGGTGGGGTGGGGTGGTCTTGCACCTTGACGGCCTCATGGGTGGGGGGAGGGTGCTCACTTCCTGGGGCTCTTGGGAGCGGGGAGGTTGCCCGGCTACAGGACGCCTAGCACCCAGCCCGCATCCACGACCGGTAACCCGGAGAGTTACTGATCCAGCTGTGTGCGAGACTTGGTTTGTTGCTGAGGAAATATGGAACCTACCTGTGCTGGTGAACTTGGCTGGGGGAGGGGAGGAGCCTGTCTGGGAGTCCCGGAGGGTCTGAAGAAACCTACTGAGCCCCACCCAGTGATAGGGAAGGTGCTGGGGTACCCTGGGTCCGCCTGGTGATGGTCCATTTGGGGGGGCCATCCCGAAGCCCCCCCGTGAGCCCGTAGCCAGCCTGCACATGGGGCAGAGGTGCTCAGCGGAGCAGGGTCTGCAGCCTGGTGGGAGATGTTATTTTCCATCCATGGGTGCAGATTATAACAGTACCCCCCAGCCCCCCTCCCACCGTCCCCAGGCCCGATGCCCGCGTGGCCCTGGGTGATGCCGTTCCGCTATTTTGAGCCGTCCAGGGCCAAGCAGAGAGTGTGTTTTCTGCAGTTGTCTCCAGGCCGTCACTATCAGGACCCCTCCTTGGCCACCCTGGACAGCCATCAGAAACGTCACCCAGTGAGGATGTTGATTTAGCAAATACTCAGAGAGCATGTTGCTGTCACCAGGGGCTGGCCCCAGTCTGAGGCATCCACACAGACGCCCTCTTCATCTCATAACCACCCCCCGTGGTTACCCCACTACAGAGAAGGGGGCAGAGGCTCAGGGTCGAGGGGCATTGGCTGGGGTCACCCGGCTGGCAGGGCCAGGTCCAGCCCTGGGAGTCTGCTCATCACCGCTCGGCCATGCTTGGCCCAGGATCGGGGCCGCCAGTCTCTTTCCTGAGTGGACAGACAGGTGACGGGGCAGCCATGAAGGAAGTTTCTAGAACAGATCACCAAGATTGGCTCCCAATCACTCACCTCTCCGGCTTGTGCTGCTAAAGGCCCAGGTGCTGGGAGAAGGGCTTGGGAATTCCACTCACCACCTGCAACCTGGCCCCTGGAGAAATCCCACTGACCGGCCTCTGTTTTTCCTGCCCTGGGAACTTCAAAGGGAGGTGGTTGGCACCTGTAATGCCCAGAGGGACCTTGGTCCCAGCCCCGAGAGCAGAGTGTGGTCAAAGGCTCTGAGCCCCACGGCCTGGGTTCAAATCCCAGCCCTCCCACTCCCTCGTTGTGTGACCTTGGGCAAGTCCCTTAACCTCTCTGAGCCTCAGTTTCCTCTTCTGAAAAAGGATTGAACTCCAGCACATCCCTCCTGGGGTGTTGGAAGGATGGAGTGAGCAGGTAGGTATGTGGTAAACACGAGGCACTCCCTCGAACAGGCTGACTTTTACTCATTGGAGAAATGGCTTCAGAGGATCCCAGCAGCTTCCAGTGCAGAGGCATCGGGACTGGGACTGGGGGTGGCTGACAGCATTCAGAGTTGCGTGAGGCCACAGGACAAAGGTGCAGGGAGAACATGCTTCATAGCTCCCGACTGGGATTCTTCTGGAATTCTCTAGACTCTGTACACAGGAGGGGCTCAGGGCAGGTGCCTTTCCCCCTTCTCACCTTCCTTCCTCCCTGAACGTGTCTGGGGTCCCGAGAGGCTCCAGAAAGGAGAGAGAAGCCCCCCGGGCCCTGGCGTGGCGGCCCCCTGACGTGGTTTCTGGTCTGTCCTCAGGGGGAACTGGATCGGAGAAGCCCCCTACAGAACTGGCCGGCCCTGCTCCGAGTGCCCGCCCAGGTACGGAGGCAGCTGCAGGAACAACTTGTGTTACCGAGGTAGGAAACGACTTCAGAACCCTTTGGAACGGGCGTCCCCTCCAGTCCCTGAGTCACAGGGTGGCTGACGTGAAACGGGGAAGTTGGACAATTTGGGGGGGAATTCGTCCTTCCTCCCCCTCATCTCTGGACTCAGGGTTCAGCCCCAGCTCCCCGGGGATACGGCTGCCCCTGGGACGTCCCCCCAGTGGGCGTCTCCCGTGGGAGGCATCCCTGCCCTCTTGGTGCTCAGAGTTTGGTATAAAACAGACAACAAACAAGGAATTTAAAAACAGCCACGTGATTGATGATCCAGGCAGGGCCCGCCCCCGCGGCTTGCCAGAACCCCTCCTGCCCGTCCTTGGCCCCCGCCGGCCACCCAGCCGCGTGTGCAGTTTCCCCTACCCCACAGCTCAGGCCATACCGAGCTCTCAGAGGCCGTGTTTTCCGGCGATGCCAGCATTTGCTTATTGCCTGCGGCTCAGAATGTTCCCACGTTCCCCCTTCCTGTGAATAATGCACATTTTTCGTGCCTCAAGTGCTCCTCGCATTTGGGACTGTTTCCTCAGGCTCCGTCCCAGAAGGAGCAGAGCCCGCCAAGGGGCTGACCGTGTTTTTGAGGTTGAGATGTGTTTTTTTTTTTCCCGTGGCTCCATCAACAGGTCTTGTGATGGCTGAGAGGGGTCTTTCAGGAGAAGTGGGATTGCGGGGGAAACGCAGGATCAGTCCAGTGGGCTCCGGGGTGAAGAGTGGGGCTCCCAGACCCTCCCAGGCCCGCTGTTCCCTACTGATTCTGCCCACTGCAGGGCAGGCGTGGGGATCTCGCAGCGGGGGGAGAAGCAAGGATCTGAGAGTCCAGCCCGTGCTGGTCCCCTGGGTCATGAGTTATATGCAGGTGGCTGAGCCTCCAGGGGGAACTCAGGGGGCTCAACCCAAAGTCTGGACATTAGGCTTCTGGATCTGGCTCTCCATGATTGGAGGCTGTTTGCTCAAGCCAGCTGATCACTCTACCCATCAGCAAAATGGGTATGATAACTCCAGCCTTCCATGCCGTTTCTCGGGCTCAGATGAGAGAGTCGGTGCATTTGGTGCGAATGTATTGAGCGCCTGCTGTGTGCCGGGATGTTGCTAGGTGATAGGGATGGGGATGCCTGTGGGGACCCAACAGTCACGGTCCTGCCCTCTGGAACATGAGGTCCAGCAGGGCCACTGCCCTGAGGAGTGACACGCATCTTTCAGGGGACGTAACAGATGCCTCAGGGCTTAATATCAGGGGTATCCACCATCAGCCAGGTCAGGGAAGGCTTCCCAAGCAGGCGGCTATTGAGGAAGAGGACATGGCCTAGTAATGAGAGAAGGGAAGGGTGTTTCTGGCAGGCGGAACAGCATGTGCAAAGGCCTGGAAGGTGAGGCATCGCGGTCACGAGACTGTGAGGCAGAAGGGCCCACAGGGATGTGCAGGTCCCGGCAGTGCCTGCCACGCAGCAGGGGCTCTGTAAGCATTTGTTAGATGGAGTTTCTCCTGCTCTCCCACCCCCTCTCAGGCAACACACCTCTTCACTGTCTTCGAGAGGGAGGTGCCCACACCTGTCCTTAGTGAGATATTCCCAGATAGCCCAGCTCCGATTCCTGGATTCGTGGGACAAGCGTGGGTTTTAGAGTTCAGCACACCTGCCTGAGGAATATCAACCCTACGTGTTCCAGCGGTGAGCACCTGGGCAGGGCATTTCATCTCTCTGAGCCTCAGTCTTCCTGTGTGAAAATGGGGTGATGCGTCAGCCCCTGGGGGTCGTAGGAGGGCTGAGAAGAATGCAGGCTGACACTCCAGGCATATCAGGCCGCAAATCCCCATTCAGGCAGGTCCTGTGGCTGCTGTCCAGTCACCCAGAGGGGCAACTCCCCCGCATCAGATCCTGAGTGCTGATTTGGGGACCGTGAGAGAGGGATGCTCACTGGGGCTCCCCGTTGGCTCTCACATTGGGAGGGGGCTCCGTGTGCGCACAAGGCAGGCTGTCAGGGTGCAGGGCAGGCAGAGCGGGGTGTCTCTGCATTCCTGGACATGTGTGCTCAGGCACACTGCTTGCCTTCTTTGAGCCTCGGTTTCCCCATCTCTAAGAGTGATGACATCGTTCTCCCCCAGATGATTTGCTGGGAGGATGCAACAAGGAGGATGTGAGTTGCTAGGACAGTAGCCTGCACATAGTCAGTGCTTTATGAACACAGCTCATTACTTCCTGGGAGAGGTGGGAGTGTGGAGGTATGACTGCGCTTATCACCTGGCATGGGGTTCTTCCTTACCTGGGAGGTACTGGGGGCCGTCTCCCAGCCTGGGAGCCCCATCCATCTCAGGATCCTGGCAGACCCCTTCTCTTCTCGGGAAACACAGCTCTGGTGTCACACCTCCTCCAGGGAGACTTCCCTGAGTCTACAGACAGGCAGCCCACCTGCCTCCGTGCTCTTACTGCACCCAGACTCTCCTTGAACCTGATTCACCTGTAGTTACAACTGCTGGTTCACTCTCGGGCCTCCAGGGCCACGTAGCAGGTGTGTTCTGCATGTTGTCCGAATAAATATACCCCCGATATCCACAGAGGGTCATTTTCAAAGAACAAATGCACAAAGATAGCCTAGATGCTGGTTAACCCACCCAATGAAGCCTCCTGGACTTGTTTCTTTATTTTTGGTGGAAAATGCCCACCTTCACTTGGTGGGCATCCCAATTTTCTTAGCTAACCACGCAGAAAGTCTCTTCTAAAGCAGCTTACCTGCATAAGCTACTTAATAAGCATTTATTGAGGTGCCTGTCAAGGCCTTGACCTATAATGGAGATGGAACAGGGATAAGGATAGACCGTAAGAGAAGATTCCATCCCTCCAGCCCTTCCCTGTGTGGTGATGAAGGGCGTGGACTTTGGGGAAAGGTGATTTGACTCTCAGCTGTGTGAGCTTGGGCAGGTCACATAGCCTCTCTGATCCTCGGTTTTCCCGTCTGTACAATTGGGCTGCTCATGCCTCACAGGGCAATGAGAGGATGAGGTGAGAGCTTGACATTAGTTTTGAGCTTCGTCCCCACTTATGGAACCAGGCGGGAGTCTGCAGAATGATGGAGCAATGCTGTGTGCCTTGGGACCCCTGGTCCGGAGCTGGACGGTGCACAGGGTAACCTTGCAGCGAACTTGGGCACGGAATTTCCCCAGGCCTATGGTGGTCCACACAGGGGATCTTAATTAGGATGTGATCAAATACAGCCCGTCCTCTGGGTAAGCATTCCACTTTTCATGTGTGTGTCTGAGGGCGAGGACCGTCTACCCATTTTCTTAAATAGTGAACCCTCAAATGCTTTAGACTGCTTTACCCAACTATATTTGGCTAAATAAAGCCACGATTATGAGGTATAAAAATCCTAAAGGCCAGTGGAAGAAAACCCAGCTTATTCCAGAGACAGCTCTGGCTTTCAGTGAAGGCCAAACCTGAATGGCCACATTGACGGGAAGACAGACAAGAGACAGCCGCTGGGTCCCAAGTGGTGTTTGCAAACCCAGCGTCTTCATAAAGATTTCACCTATAGCGTTTGGCTACCAATGATGTTTTCAGAATTCCCTTCCTGAATGTCTTTAAGCTTTGCTGGGACTTTTTTTTTTTCCCCAAAAGAGTTCAAAGACAGAATTTGTTGGGCGTTTTGATCATCCTTCACTCAGCAAACTTTGTTGAGCAGCTACTATGTTTTGGGAGCTGGGTGTAGTGTGGTGTGCTGGCCAGGCTGGCTGCTGGCCTCAGGGAGTTTACAGCTGGTGGGGGAGGGGGGGGTGGTGAGCACGCCGTCCAGGAGCAGTACATGGAGGTCCATGAGCTCTGATAATGACCTTGGGACTCCGGGTTGCTGTTCTCCTCTGGCTTAAATCCTGTCCATCCTCCTATGGGTCAGGGTAGTGGTTGTGCCGTGATGAATCGGCCAGTGAAACAGCTGCAGAGTATCCCAGCCTTGAAAAGCATCAGAGAAGATGTCACTTGCCCTTCATATTTTTGAATGTCTTATATCAACGCAAACCCTTGGTCTGCTTTTTGGAGAAAAGTTGTTGCTCTTCAGAAGAAGTAAGGATGAGGCTGGGGATTGGTGAACACGTGATGGGACTTGAGTTTTAATCCGTTGACACAGAGAGGCCTGCGAGGGCGCTTCATTCCTTCTCCTTGAAACCATTCTTACCCAAACACATCTGTTGTCTTTTCTCATTGGAGGAGCTTGGAAGGCAGGGGTTTCCACCTAGGGTCCACAGACATCCTTGGAGGGGCGGGCGTCCCCCAGCAGAGATGCGCACCGATTCATCTTTGATAAGGGTGCTCAAGCAAACTCAAACAGCAATACTTTGCTTTACTTTGGCTGGAATTGATGCTTTGGTATCCAGCTGGCCTGATTACAGATCACAGTGAGTGGTTAATAGTTGACTTTCATGACGAAAACTGGCAGATAAACTGATGCTTAATAAATGCAATGTATTCGGTGAATTAGAATGTTTTGAAACATGAAGGTCACGGTCATGGTTGGAGAAATAATAGTATTTCGGTGGGGAAAATATTGGGACCCGAAGAACTAAGTTTTTTAACCAAGAGTTGGGTCTTTGGCTCGTTCTAGATGATGGTTCCAATGTTCTTGGGCTTCGAAACTTCAGTGCAGGGAAAGGTTAAGTGATCTTGGCCTGCAGGAGTGGGGAAGGAAGCAGAATGTGCTGGTGGTGAGGGGCAGTGGGGTCCAAGAGCATTGGCGAGGGTCTTCGTGGGCCACGACGACGTGTAAATGAGGCGGACCCCTCCTCCAGTGAGAACCTAGGGCCAGAGGCACCTCAGCGGAGACAGCGACGGTTTGGGGTCAGAGGATGAGGGCGGCTTCCTGAAGGTGCTTCCTTGGGCAGAGACGGGACAAGAAACCATTCTGATGATCCAGGGCTGGGCGCCAGGGCCTCCTAACCTCTGGTCAGCCCAGCCGCTCTTGTGTCCAAAGCAAACACAGTGAGCGGAGAGCCATCCATCGCCCCTTGGCGGGGAGAATTCCACCTGGCCAGCACTGTCCTGAAATGTCACTTTCTCTTTGCCACTGAAATGACCCTTTGTGAAGCCAAACCTCAAACAACTTTAGTTTCCAAATTGCTTCTTTATTTTTTCCTAAATGCATTTTGGTTGAATTCCCAGCATGTTGCTTTTCTCTTCCTCTTCACTATTAAGAGACGGACGACCAAAAACCCGAAACGGACGAGATGAACGAGGTGGAAATGGCCCCCATTCCTGAAGAGAAGCACATCTGGGTCCCGCCGAGCGTGATCAGACCCACGAAGCCCAAGAAAGCCCCCACCGTGAACTACATGAGTGAGTGGGGCTCTGCCCTCTGCCAGCCACCTCTGGAGGGGGCAGTTTTCTTTGGGGTGGGCAGAGGAGGGAAGCTGGTGGGTTGAGAGGTCTCCAAGTCGACAAACAGCAGGGAACAGGGTGGGGTGTAGCCTGCAAAATGCACAACCTGAAGATATTTCTAAAAAATGATATTTTTAAGTCATTTCAAAAGAAGCATTATAGGAGCTGTGCGTGGGTGGCCTTGCCCTCCCTGGCAGGTATTTTAAGGTTAGACCCTCTCGGGCTTCCCTGGTGGCGCAGTGGTTGAGAGTCCGCCTGCCGGTGCAGGGGATACGGGTTCGTGCCCCGGTCTGGGAGGATCCCACATGCCGTGGAGCGGCTGGGCCCGTGAGCCATGGCCGTTGGGCCTGCTCGTCCGGAGCCTGTGCTCCGCAATGGGAGAGGCCGCAGCAGTGAGAGGCCCACATACGGAAAAAAAAAAAAAAAAAAAAAGGTTAGACCCTCTCTTGTCCTTTCAAAGAGGACTTGGGCTGAAATTGGGTTCCTGTTGGAAGCGCCTGGCTCCCAAAGGGAGAATGAACATGCAGCATGGAGCCCGGCTTCCGTGGTCGTCATGCACCAGCCCCGTGACTCGGACAGTCACCCGACTCTTTGAGACTCGATGTGCTCATCCATAAAGTGGGAGCAGTGATGCCTCTGTCGGCATTTTTTTAAATCAGTGAGATATGGATCAGTGCATTTCATATGTCCATATTTTACAAGAGGCATTGGGTTCTTTTTTTTTTTTTCCTTATTTTTGGCTGTGTTGGGTCTTCGTTACCGCGCGCGGGCTTTCTCTGGTTGCGGCGAGCGGGGGCTACTCTTCGTTGCGGTGCGCGGGCTTCTCACTGCGGTGGCTTCTCTTGCTGCGGAGCACGGGCTCTAGGCGCACGGGCTTCAGTACTTGTGCGCAGCCTCAGTCGTTGTGGCTCGCGGGCTCTAGAGCGCAGGCTCGGTAGCTGTGGTGCACGGGTTCAGTTGCTTCGTGGCATGTGGGATCTTCCCGGAGCAGGGCTCAAACCCATGTCCCCTGCACTGGCAGGTGGATTTCAACACTGCGCCACCAGGGAAGCCCGGCATTGTGTTCTTGACAAAGGAGATCTGCAGCAATTACTAAGGAGCAAGGCCATGGATTCTAGACCTGGGACAAACCTCCTGGGCTGTATGTCAACGTTCTCATCTGTTACTCCTCACACATCTCCTTACCAGAGCTGTTGCAGCTCTGTCAGGTGCTGTGAGGATTATTTGCAGTAAACGGGGGCCACCCAGTGTCAGCTGTGCTTTGAGCTCACCATCAAGTTGCCTCCGACACCCCCCCCCCACTTAAGGCCGGAAGTTGGATGTCCTCCCAGAGACTTCCGGAAGTCCCCAGATGCTTAGTGTTCTCACGCTCACCTCTGTCACACTTTATTCTACCTGGTCTCCCAAGACACTTCGCCTGCTAGGGCTCGCTCCTTTCTTTCTGCCCTCCCCTGCCGGGCTCCGATTACCCCGTCCCCTGCTCACCTGTGTATGTGGCACCTTCAGTGAAGGGTTGAGGCTCTGGAGGGCATTTTCTTACAGACACGGCACCAGGTGTGGGTTCTCTGCCCACCGGTGTCTCTCTTTTCCCTCGAAACCTCACAGAGCATAAAACTGGACTCACCCCTGAGTAGGAGGCCAGCTCATGCCCGTCTTTCTCAAAAATCCTCTGCTATTTTGTCAACTGCCCTGCCCTCAGCCCCCACTAGTCTCTATCGTCTGGGCCTTCAAATGTCTTTCTCCTGGGCTTCCTGCCTGTTTAGTCAGCTGTGGCTTTCTTTGACCAGGAAATACGCTGATGTTCTTGTCTGTCCAGAAATTCCAAACACTTCAGTTGTTTTTTTTCTTTAATAATGTAACATTACAAAGTAATATGTCTTTTTGTCAAACTGTGACACTACTGCAAGATTCTGATATGTCCCTATAAAATAAACCAAAAAGGAAAGCTTGGCAGAGTCATCTTGGCTGGGGGCGTGGAGACGACACTGGTGAGAATGGCTGGGTGCCCACCAACCGGGCTGGATAAGGCTCGCCCTCCAGAGCCCTGTGAGGCTATGGGGCACTTAGTGTGCCAGGCTCCCTTCCAAGCCTACATTTACTTTCTCGTTTAAGGCTCACAGCAACCGTTGGAGGTGAATACTGTACTCATCCCCATTAGTAAGCAGAATTTGAACCTCAGAGAGGGGAAGTAAGGTGTCCAAGGTGACAGTGCTACTAGAAAGAGGATCTGGGATCTGAACCTCACCCTAAGCCTGCAGCCATTGGGCCATGCTCTTGCTCTCATTCTGACATGGATTCCAGAATGTTCCAGAGAGTTCCTCAGAGGGGGAGATGGGGTCTTCTAACTCAGACTCATCCTCCCGCTTCTTGCCTTGACAAGTATTTCTGCATTTCTCTCCTAGCCCAAGTCGTCAGGTGTGACACCAAGATGAAGGACAAGTGTAAGGGGTCCACGTGCAACAGGTAAGGCCTGGCCCATCCCTGTCTCGCTGGCTACAGCCCTCTGAATCACCTGCTCTCGGTCTTGGCTCACATCGTGATCTGTCAGCTGATCTACGTCTGTAGAAATGCCAGATGTGCCAGCAGCAGATGTCCTATCGACAGGGAGATCTTGAACGATGTTTCTGTGAGGCTGGGGGCTCCCTCCCATCTCTCTGCATGAAGGGGTTCCCCAGAGCTAGCACAGCCTAGCCCAGAGCTCTGTGTCGGGGACGACTGGGGCTGCGGCAGCGTTAGGGCAGGTGTGACCGTGGACGGGTCCAGCACGGCTGCTGTGGAATCCAAGTCGGCCTGCTTCCCGAGGGGCCCCACCAGACAAAGAGCGGCCTGCGTGTCCCCCAGCGTTGAACAAATTCATGTAGCTGATGGAGTCACTTAGTATCGTCCATTTCAGGTGCTGAAAAACATCTGGCAAGAAGAACAAACTTGGTTTTGGCAGCCTAGCTGCTGGGCTGCTCCTTCTGGCAGTGAGTGGCCAACAGGTGTAGCGGCCCTACATAGATCCTCAGGTTCACGGCAGGAAACTGTGTTATCGATGGAGGGGCCCTTACTCCTCTCCCTATGGATTCTGGCATCCATTCATCTAAAGCTGAATTGCATTTTTATTTTTTTTCATTATTTATTTTACTTATATTTATTTTTGGCTGCATTGGGTCTTCGTTGCTGCACGTGGGCTTTGTCTAGTTGCGGCGAGCGGGGGCTACTCTTCGTTGCGGTGCGCGGGCTTCTCATCGCGGTGCCTTCTCTTGTTGCAGAGCACGGGCAGTAGTGTAGTTGTGACGCGCGGGTTCAGTAGTTGTGACTCGCGGGCTCTAGAGCGCAGGCTCAGTAGTCGTGGAGCATGGGCTTAGTTGCTCCACGGCATGTGGGATCTTCCCGGACCAGGGCTCGAACCCGTGTCTCCTGCATTAGCAGGCAGATTCTTAACCACTGCGCCACCAGGGAAACCGTGAATCGTGTTCTTTAAAGCACACGCTAAAAGAGAAGGTATATTGTATTACCTAAAAGAGAGGGTCCTATTTTATACCACGGGGACTTTGGGATCTGGTTTGCCAGGACAATGCATCATTCAGACTTTGGCAGGAGTGTCCTGGGACAGACAGAGCAGTCCAGGATCAGATGTTCAAGGGGCTCATACGTCATCCCACGAGCAGCTGATGATGGGCCAGCAAGTACTACGAAAGTAGAACCAGGCAGTTTGTTGGTGGAATGAGCAAGACGTGGCAATGAGGGTGGTGGAATAACCGTCTGTCCCCTCGCACCGGAAGGGGTCTCCAGTCTGCAAACTCACAGGTCTGGGATTCCCGGAACGCTCCCGAGTTGCCCCTTGGTGGTGATGTGCCTTTCTGAACCGCAAGCTTGTTACAAGAGCATCACGCCTGAATATTCAATGGGAAAAAGTGACAAGGTCTGGAGAACATTTGTTGTTAGCATCAAAAGAGTTGCAGGGTTGGGAGTAGATGGGACCCTCCCCAAGCACGGAAAAGGCAGGGGTCTGTCCACATGAAGACTGTTAGATGCCTCCAGTCAAGATGTAGAACTCAGCCCACCTGCAACCACAAGAATGTTCATGGAGCTGCTCCTGGAAGCCGTCCCACCATCTGGCACATCAGTTTTCTGTACGCGGTGCTTTTACAAAAATAATATTTACTGGACTTTTTTTCTGACTTTAAAAGGTATTCTTGTTCATTGTAATTCAGGAAAACAACAACCAAAAAAAAAAAAAAAAGTATAAAGGAAAGAATAAGTGTCCCACAATCTCGTGAACATCAGTAAACATTCTATGTAGTTTCTGTGCACTGATGAGGCTAATACTGCTTAGGCTATACTGTTATGCAATCTTGTGTGTTACTGGTTTCACTGAAGGTTTTCCAAGGTCAATAACTATTCCTCAAAAACTTCATTTCTAGTGGCTGCATAATACTCTGACATTCGGGCACACAAAAATATATTTGGCTATTCCTTTGACACCTGCTGATTTATTTCTGGTTTTTCCCTATTACAAATGGTTGGAATAACATGGAGATCTGACTTTCTGTCTTTTTGCTTTCGGGAGATTCAAGAATTAAGGGATATGAATTTTTTTTTTAATGGGAGTAGTTAATTTACAGTGTTGTGTTAGTTGCAAGTGTACAGCAAAGTGATTCAGTTATACATATATATATTGTTTTTCAGATTCTTTTCCGTTATAGGTTATTATGAGATTTTGAGTATAGTTCCCTGTGCTATATAGTAGGTCCTTGTTGGTTATCTGTTTTATATATAGTAGTGGGTATATGTTAATCCCAAAGTCCTCATTTATCCCTCGCCCCGCTTTCCCCTTTGGTAGCCTTAAGTTTTCTGTTTTCTATGTCTGTGAGTCTGCTTCTGTTTTGTAAATAAGTTCATTTGTATCATTTTTTTAGATTCCACATAAGTGATATCACATACTTGTCTTTGTCTGACTTACTTCACTTAGTATGATAATCTTTAGGTCCATCCACGTTGCTGCAAATGACATTATTTTTTTTTGGCTGAGTAATATTCCATTATATATATATATATATACCACATCTTCTTTATCCATTCATCTGTCGATGGACACTTAGGTTGCTTCCTTGTCTTGGCTATTGTGAGTAGTGCTGCTGTGAACGTTGGGGTGCATGTATCTTTGTAAATTAGAGTTTTTCATCTTTTCTGGATATATGCCCAGGAGTGGGATTACTGGGTCATATGGTGGCTCTATTTTTAGTTTTTTGAGGAACCTCCATACTGTTTTCCATAGTGGCTGCACTAATTTACATTCCCACCAACAGTGTACGAGGGTTCCCTTTTCTCCACACCCTCTCCAGCATTTGTTATTTGTAGACTTTTTAATGATGGCCATTCTAACTGGTGTGAGGTGATACCTTATTGTAGTTTTGATCTGCATTTCTCTAATAATTAGCAATATTGAGCATCTTTTCATGTGCCTCTTGGCCATCTGTGTGTCTTCTTTGGAGAAGTGTCTATTTAGGCCTTCTGTCCATTTTTTTATTGGGTTGTGGTTTTTTAAAAAATATTAAGCTGTATGAGCTGTTTGTATATTTTGGAAATTAATCCCTTGTCGGTAACATCATTTGCAAATACTTTTTCCCAGTGCAGAGGTTGTCTTTTCGTTTTGTTTATGGTTTACGGGATATGAATTTTGAAGGCTTTCTGGAAAGATTAACTGTTGTTTGTGAACATGATCACCATCATTTGGTTTTATTCTACTAAAAAACCCTTGACGCCTGGAAAAAGCCACCTCCTTTCAGTCTGCACATCTTTGGTGACTGATATCTGAGGATTTTTTTTTTTTTTTTGGTGCCTTTGAAGCCACTTGTCTTTATTCTGTGAATTGTCTGTCTGTTCATAGAATTGTCCATCTATTCATTTTGATCCTGAAGCACATGAAAATAGTCTTTGAGGAGGTCAGGTTGAATCTAATTGTGTCTGTGTGACTAGAAACTTCAGCCTGGGTGAATTGTGACTTGCTTCAAAACAATGCATGCTATATCACTGACGCTTTTCTATATGTAATAATAGAGCTGTTGAAGGGAAAAACCGCAATAAGTTCACGATGAGGTTCCATGAACATGTTTACCTCTGAAAATCATCTTCTTTCTTCTCCATCAGGTACCAGTGCCCAGCAGGCTGCCTGCACCACAGGGCAAAGATCTTTGGGACCCTCTTTTATGAAAGCGTAAGTATGGCCAGCATTTCTCTAAATGGCTTGTGTGGACTCCTGTCTCTGTTTTAAAAGCAGGTGGCTGGTTTTCAGGTGAACAGATTTTCTTTCCTCAGTCAAACCCCCCTTTTTGTAGAGCTGATCCATGTGTGTTTCTGGGGTCACAAACTTGTGAAGCCACTTTTGGGAACTGGGGATGACCCACGAGCAGAACAGTCTCCATTTTAGCCCGAGCATTAAATGCTCTACTGGATGGGGAGAAAGGGCTGTTTGTCCCTGTTCTTAGTTTGTAAAGCAACTCAGATGAGTTCTGAAAGATAAGCACCCCCTGGAACAAAGACGTGTGATAGAGTGCAGCCAGAGTGAGAAGTGGGGTGAACCTTGGCCCGACTTTTTGGCTTTTTGTGGGTTGAGGACAGAAACATCTTGGATGTTTCTGGAAATGATCGCAGACAAAGATGAATTCAGATGTACTTACAGTCTGGCCTCTCCCCCGCAGGCGTCCAGCATCTGCCGGGCCGCCATTCACTACGGGGTCCTGGACGACAAGGGAGGCCTGGTGGATGTCACCAGGAATGGGAAGGTCCCCTTTTTCGTCAAGTCTGAGAGAAACGGCGTGCAGTCTTTGAGGTAATTATTCGGTGATCAGGCTTCCTGAAGACTTCTTTTCTGGTTATGAGAGTACTGTTGAAACTTTGTAAGGTACTGAACAATATAAAGAAGCAGGAAAACAGTAAAGATGACCCCAATCCCATAACTCAGAAATCGCCCCTATTGGCCGCTTAGCCTATTTCATCCCAGTGCGTTTCGGTGTGTGTGTTTAACGTGGTTGAGTTTTGTTTCTTGTTTGTTTGTTTTTGTAGGTTTTAGGAAAGTTTACTGCGTATTTAAAATGAACACTGCTCTTAATTATGAAATGTACACATAGCCATGAAGATACAGAAAACCGGAAATAAAGAAATACTAATCTCTTCATTCCCACTTCCCAGAGATAATCTAGGTACTTGACCTTCAATAGCGTAGTCTTGCAATCTGAGTTCCAAATCCCGCTTTTTCTCCCTTCCTTGTCCCTGAGAACTCTTCAGACACTTCAGTAATGACTGATGGTATCTTTGAGTTTGTAGGCTAATTCTTTTTTTTTTTTATACATCTTTACTGGAGCATAATTGCTTCACAATGGTGTGTTAGTTGCTGCTGTATAACAAAGTGAATCAGCCATACATATACATATATCCCCATATCTCCTCCCTCTTGCGTCTCCCTCCCACCCTCCCTATCCCACCCCGTAGGCTAATTCTTGATTGGCACTTTTTTTTCCCCCTGAGAACGAGGCTTTTCATCTTTTAAATATACTTACTTGTATTTGCAAGGTGTTTTTCATGTAAGGTATGTGGATGGCTGATGGGGCAGACCATCTTCGCCATTCTGACTTTTGGGGGTTGATGGGGTGGGGGGACCATGAAGAACCGCGGGAGATCGTGTCTTGACCTGTCCATGGCATCTGAGGCATAAGGTGACCAGGAGCTGGTGGGACCCACTGGGGGCTCTAGGGTCAAACAGACCCGGCTCTGACTTCTCCCTTTGCGTGACCTGGGCTGGCTTCTTAATCCCGTCAGGGTGGCAGTACTCTCATTTATAAGTGAGGCCCACGGCAGGACCCGGGGCTGACACCCTGCTAACCCACCACGAGGCAGCATGTCAGGGACCCCCGTGTCAGTGCCCATCCCAGGGTCTTCAGCAGGCAGGCACCCAGC